CATCTTAGTGTTGCTTGATGGAAAGACTTTATATGCAGAGTCATGTACAAGAACCCCAGATAAATTGGAATGCTCGTCATATGATTAAGAAGAGAGGAAAAGAAGAAAAATCTAAGATTACATGATGCACAAATCTGTTTTCCGTTTCTGGACTTCTTTTTTTAATCTTTTTGGTAAGATGTTGGAACGTTTGGATTTTTTATTTATTTATTTATTTCTAATAAAACCATGCGAAAAGTATAGAGAAAGAAAATCACGTCACTATTTGGTGAAACTGTGAACAGCTTATAGAAATCTGAAATGTGACCCAGACTCAACACTGATTTTCATAAGAAGCTAAAACTGTTTAAGGTTTATTCTTTAAAAGTGTGTTTTATTTTAAGAGCTTGTTATATTGCTCATTGTATAAAATCTTCATCTTAAAAATAACTGAAGTTGTTAGATAAATTTGGTGGAGTAGAAAGTATAATATTTTCTTCTGGAATCTAGTGGGCTGAAGGTATAAAGCAGCATAAAATGGAAATAGTCAAGGTAAATTAGATTAGATTAGATTAGATTAGATTAGATTAGATTAGATTAGATTAGACAGAACTTTATTGTGCAACTTTAGGTGCAAGTACAAAAAAATTGCACATAAATATAGTGGTGTTGTTTGAGGTCCATATCCATCCAATTACAGGCCATGAAAACTCTCCTCTAAATTTTAGCAATCATAACACACAACTGGTCAGTTCACATCTAAAGCTGCGACTTTGTAACTGTAAACGGACAATGTTAATGCCTCACCCACCATGCAACAAATAATTATCGAGTATTACAGTCCTTCTCATTAGCATATTGACTATAAATGATTTCTAGATGGAGGCGTGCGTAGTTTTGCATCTGCAGTGCATTCTCTCCTGCTGACTAAACAAAATGGAAATAAAATGAAGCAGGTCTGAATGAAACAAGCCTGTATTTTAAACGTGCAGTGCATCACAGTAAACCTGCAAAATGTCACAGACCATTTGGGTAAACAACCAATCTACCATTTGTGCAAAACAAAACGTATTTCCTTATGCATATGGTATCCCATCCTGTAAATATTTGGATGAAGGTATGAGAATATATGGAGGAAATTGCAATATTTACAATGGAGTATAACTACTAACCACACAGAAAGAATTCTGGTGTGTGTAAACAAGTCAACATATATGAAGAGTTAAGTTAGACTTTACTCTGAGCTCCAAATAGGTAGAGACATAAAGGTGAAGTTTAAGGAAATAGGATATCTTTATCATATAAATCCACTTCTTTTCTTTCCTTAAACCAAAATCTGAATTGTAAAGACATAACACATCTAATATCTGTTTCAAATGGGTCTTTTTTTTGTTGCTGAATTTGAATGACACATGTATTTTGCAGCTCTTATAGGTGCTAAATGACTGTTCTGAGCAGCACTGTGTATCTCGTCTCTTTGTGTGACTCAGCTGAGTCTTCTTTGTTTTTGAGTCGTTGCCATATTTCCACTTGCTCCATCTCCGCTTCTTGTCATCCTCTGACAGACTCAGCAGTCATGGGATGTGTGCATGATAGCTCCCATTCCTCAGCGGGGCTCAGTTTCTTTCTCCATCTTAAGTGTGATATCCTCTTTGTCAGTTTGGCAAAACAGACACCAAGACATGCTCATATATTTCCTGCAGTGCCCACATACTGACTCATAGTCGCTGTACTATTGTGGGGCATGTTTATCCTGAATCTGTCAATGAGCATCAGCCAACATAAGAGATAATTGCTATATTTGCGCCTGCTGTCCAGAAGGATCTGCTGCATTAAAACAGTGCTATTTTCCTACTTGTATTATTTGATCAAAGGATTCTGAGAGGTTGCAGTGTGAAAACCAGACAAAGCAAGTACAATTTAGTTTGATTTCTTGTCTGTCTAATCTCTGTAATCATTTCAGAACTCAGATGCATTACCAAGTACTGACCCCCATTATACTTTGCAGTGCAGGTTTTTTAGGTCATTTGATAAAAAAAACTAAAAAAAACTTTATTTGACCAATGTACATAAAACATAATTCTATTCTGTGTGAAGCTTCAGAGTAATAACCAGTTGGCTCAGCCAGTTAGAGCGCAACACTAATGCTGAGGTTGTGGGTTTGATCCCTGTTTGGGCCACAATCGCTATGTCATGCCTCCTCGCATCAATTTGAGTGTTTGTTTTTTTTTGTTTTGCTTTTTTGCCTGCTTTCCTTATTTTCACAGCATCAGACATGTCGTTGTGTATCACCCTGGGTGTCCAGACAGAGCTTAGTGCAACAGTTCTGCTTGTGCCACATATGGTATTTCATTGATTCACATTTTAGAATTCGGATGTATGTTTAGATGTTGATATTAACAATTCGGTCATGTCCCTTAAACCTGCAATGCAAAACTTTTGTCTCCCCCTTCTGGCGGAGAGAATCTCTGAACACTGAGTTTCTGTTTTAGCTGGAGCATTAAGCTGGAGCATTAAACTTTCCTTTGATGCCTCCTTTACTCTCCCCCCCATAAGCTCTGCAATCTTTCTAGTTGCTGTGGCCTACTCTGACTCCACCACTGTCTTACTACCTATGTCACATTTAGCAAACTATAAAATGCATCACTAGCAGTGTGCCGGTGCCAGAGTGTTCATTCATAAGTGTTTAAACTATCCGGGATATTATGAAATACACATAGATTTCCCTAGCCAGGCTTAGTCAACAACTTAAATATATTCATGTATATGTAAGAATCCTACTTTCTTACTTCACATGTACTACGCAGTATTTGCTCATTTCTATGCATATATGAAATATGATGCAGATTTGTTGGGTTTTCACGAGTGCCTGAAATGAGGAGGGGTGGCCCTCAATCAAGATTTTGCAAAGGGCCCCTGAAAAGCTAGAAACAGCTATATAGATTAAACTATTACTCCTCTGCTAAACAAGCCAGCGTCTGCTTCTCTGGAGCTGAATGTTTCTGTACTATGCCGGAGTGTGTCCACTTTTTCAGCTGTGATAACTGCAAGAAATGCAGCGAATAGAGCCCTATTTAAGTCTACCCTTATATGTTTGTTCTTGGCTTGCATGACAACTCAGGAACAAATGCATGTATTTTAAATGTTCAGAGGGGTGTATTCACTGCTTCCCTATGAAATACACACCTAACATAAAACCCATATAAAGGGAAGAGCTACAGAATCACAATTTAAGTTTACCGTTACTTCGCAGCTAGAAGGTCGCCGGTTTGCGTGAGGACACCCGGGATCTTTCTGTGTGGAGTTTGCATGTTCTCTCTGTGTAGTGTGGGTTCTCCGTGGGTGATTCTAAATTGTCTGTAGGTGTGAATGTGAGTGTGCTTGGTTGTCTGTCTCTAAGTGTAGCCCTGTGATAGACTGGTGACCTGTCCAGGGTGTCACCTGGGATAGACTCCAGCCCCCCTTGACCCTAGTGAGGATTAAGCGGTGTATAGATAATGGATGGATGGATATTGCAATTATTTGGATTGATATTGCAGTATGAGGTGTGATTTTAGTGCAAACAGTCATTTTTTGGGTTTCTTTTCTACAAAAGCTAGGTATTCTAGTAACCCAATTAACATGTGTAGCCTAACTTCCAAAAACAAGTCTAAATATTATATAACTAAAAATATTTCCAAATTCTTTGCCTTCGTGGAATTTATTCCTAAGAGACGAGATGCTCATTCTGAAGTGTGCTCTGTATCACATTTGCTCAGCCTACTGGTCCTCTAGCACAATGGTTCTCAACAGGGGGCCACAGAGAGCTGCCAGGGGGGCCTCGAGATGGCTGTGAATGTTATTAAGAAAAATACCAAAAATATTCTAATGGTGAAATAATGAGAGAAACTATCTAACTAAACAAATAGTCAATCTGTAGTGCTTCATTTGTATAAAGTAACGGCCGAGCCCAACAATAACAAATAAATACATTGTGTAGCATGGCTGTAGGCACTGTTGAGGTCCTCGTAAAATGCTATCTTAAAACACTGGACAATTTCAGATGTTTAAGACTGGTCGTTAAATACCTTTGATTGCAGATGAAAAAGCAAATTCCCCAGACATAATGGAGTTTGAATGTTCAACATAACATAATTTTGTTATTTATTGTTGAGTCCAAACAATATTTTGTTTAGAGTGTAGGTGGACGGTAAATATTGATTCACAGTAAGGAAAATTAAGCCAATTCAATTTAGTTACTACAACTTAAATTTCGGCTTAAAATCAACGAGCACAGAAATTTGAGTTGAAGTTACTCACAATGTTAAGTTGATGCAATTACCAACATTGTTATGTGGACACAACTCATCAAAAAATAATGCTCGCAACTTTAAAGGTTTAGCAAAATCTTTATTTTGCACATTTAGCTAAGTGGTGTAAAACGGGTCATTTGATGCATTTTACAGAGTTCATATTGATTCATTGTGCAAACTGGAAAACTGTGAGTTTAGCATTGGCTTGTTTGGGGTAGCAAACTTTCCTAAAATGCTGGGAAGCAATGAATGAAGTTCCTGGTCGCCATGTTGTTCATTGAGCACAGTACACCGGGCAGTAATAATAATAATTCAGCTCCCTCCCGTGCCTCGGTTCACCCCACTGGGAGGCGCGACCCCNCTACTCGTCAAGCAGCCGTGACGTCAGGGCGGCGCGCGGCGCGGGGGAGCTTTTCCTCGCGCGGAGGATGCTGCTGCTGAAACAAGATGGCTGAGCGCGCAGGAGGAGCAGCGGAGGAGAGCTGAGGCAATGCAGAGGAGGAGGCACCGGGGGGGGGCGAGGAATCCACTCCCGAGTGCATCTCGTCAGGCCGAAAACAAGCAACAGCCCCGCAGAGAAACCCACCGAGCGCTCGCTTGACATGCCGCTGGCCCGTTTCCGCCGCCGTTTAGGGCTCGACGGTGTGAGTTTTTCGTAGCCGAGACGCCAACGGACGGACCAAACAAATCACGGAGCTCTCAGTAGAGGACAGCCGGGGACGCTCACGCCGCTATCAGAGATGTCCCTGCTGTGTGTGGGAGGTAAGAGAGGGAAATTACAGGAGAGACGTGAAAACCGTGTGTGTGTGTTTTTGTGTGTGTTATAATTCGGGGTTTCACTTGCTGGTAACTGCAGCACTTGTGTGACAGAAGCCTGCGGGCTATCAGCTCCGTGGAAAAGTGTGTGTGTGTAGCCGGAGCAGCGCAGGGTTTGTGCTGAATAGTCATTAAATCATCCAGCAGCTCCGCTCGGCTTCACTGACACAACAACACTTTAACATTTTGGGGGGATACCACCGGGACTACTTTTTTTTTTTCTTTCAATTTGCAGTTTGACCTCAAGCGAAACGTGTCTTTAATTGGCACCGAACACTGTGAGGTATTAAGTCGTGACTGTCAGCAAAAGCAAACACTAACAGGCTGTTTCTATAAATGTCTAAATGGAGATGGAGAACCGCTGTTTCCACTCCTGGATGATACTGTTGCGGTTAGTGTGTGTGTGTGTGTGTGTGTGTGTGTGTGTGTGTGTCATCCACTCTGTTCATTCATGCGTGGGTAGTCTGAGGAGGAGGAGGACGAGGAAAAGCCCCTGCTGGTGCTGATGCTGCCGCACCGCTCTGCCGCTGCCGCTGCCGCTCCACCACTGCCGCACCGCTCCGCCGCCTCCTCCTCGCTGCCGCGCTGCCGCTCTGCCGCTCCGCTGTACCGTGATGAGGGAATACTGGCAGCCTGCTGGAGATGCGCGTCACTTCTCCGCGTTTTTTCCCTGAAGCGATGCGTCACCTCCTCCTCCTTCTCCTCCCAGCAGACTCCCAGAAAGCACCTGATGCTGACACTGTTGCCTCTCGGTGCCATGAATAAGCATCATCCGACGTGATTGCTCATATCCAGGGCGCGGTAAACGAGGGGGGACACGACCCAGGCTTAGAGACGATTTTAAGGCTTTTGTAGCACAGATAGGGGCTGAATCAGCAAAACTGGGGAGAAAAAAAGCACCGAGACTGTTTTGTGTGAAGTCAAACCAGGACAAGCAGGAATAGCTGCATTCACTAGTTGTTCACTTGACAGATTGCAATCGAGTATTTATTGGAAAGTGCCAGTCAGGAACCTTATTATGACAGCAACTGATTCTTACTGTAATTATTAACGAGTCTGCACATTAATTGTTTGTCTAGAAAATGGTGAAAGACTTCAATTAGAGCTGAGGCTGTTTTTTTTTTTTGTTTTTTACTAGTGCATGAGTCATTCCAAAGAAAATTAATATGCAGCTATTTATTAATTTGTTGCTTAAAGAGAAACTTGGAGGCAGATTTTCTTTTTTGTTCTGCTACATTCATACTTTACATTTCTCGGAAATGATCAGTTAAAAAGTAAATGTTATATGTTTTATGAGACACAAAGGCAGGCATTCAGCTGACAAAGTAGGTGTTTAGCAGTTACAGGCCGGTGATGCTTACTAGATTTTTGAAAGTCTATATGTGTACGAAAATGTTAACACATCCGTCTGCTTCCTGCTGTTCCTTCTTGAGGATTTGCTGCAGGATGAGTGGTGGGACAACACGAGACATTTAAAGACATCGCCTTGAGTTTTAGGATAATATGATGAGGATTTAAAAAAAAAAAAACATATTCTGACAATAGCATTTAGATCGAACACTTAATAGAGCATTTTCATAATAGACTTGTCACAGTAGTGAGAGTACAGGTGGAATTAATGATGGCACAGTTCCATTAAGTGGAACCAGCATGCAAAGGAGTAGGCGTGTAATACAGCCATCATTAATACACCAGTGCTTTCCCGGCTGTGACAAGTAAAGATGTCTGCGGTGGTAAAAAATTTATCACGATGGCTTAAAGCTTTTGGTGACGTCTTCCGATTGATTCAGTCACATATGCCAAAAATGCCTCACATGGAGTCGATGATACCGCAGAGTATTTTTGCTTGAATAATGACTTTTATATCAGTTATGTAATCCAATCTCTAAAACTAATGAAGGACGAGTCCGCATAGGATGTTTGTAGATGGAGTAATGCAACGTGAGGGCGACGAGGAAGTTAAGGGGCTTTTAAAGTCACCTTTTTACACGTCAAATCTATTATGGATGCTGCCCCATCCCACCCTGAACCACCAGGTCCACCCACTGCCTGTCCCTGCTGTGAGTCAGTCCCAGGTGTCATTAGGACCCCGAGCGTTATTCATTCATAAACGCTGGCTGCGGCTGTCTGTGCTGTAGACTACGAGACTTGGCAGAGAGCCCTCTTTCTGTTCCGGTTACATCATTCATGCTTACCTGACTGGAGCTATTTCTGGCCTCCACAGTACTTTGTGCCTCTTGAACGGGCAGCATTTCTTTGGCGCATCTGCAGACAAAGCAGAATTCAGACACAGATACAGATTAGCTGTGAAAAACTTGGCTTCTTTTCTCGAAGATATCCAGCACACTTTGAAATCCAGTTTTCTCTCTGTCTCGATTTGGGCACTAAATCAACGAGTGTAATGTCTCTGTCAGCAGTTGCAAGGACTACTGCAGATCTCCATGTACATGTGATCCTTCAGAGTGAGGCGCTGTCTGTCTGAATCATGTCATCCCTCATTTTGTCATTGGATGGCTGAACTCTGCTCGCCCACTCCCTGTTTTATATTCCCTGACAGTTCAAGTTGAAGGGTTTGCTTGATTCCCTGTCGAGTCTCTGTTTTCTTGGCAATCGGCTTAGTTCCCATAAGTCAGACCCTGCTGTGTCAGAGGTACTTCCTGAATGAAGTTTCTGCTCAAAAAATAAATAAATAAAACACGGGGCTGCACAAAATTTACAGCCGGGTCCTTCAGATTGTGCTCCGTATCCTCTGATTATAGAAAGCCAAACACGTTTCGATTTTTTATATCCTTGTTAATCAGATGGTGATAGATGGATATGGCTTTGACCTCATTTCCTGGATCCAGGCTCCTCACCCATAACCTACATTTCAGCCCAGTGATTCACTGTTACGGCCCTTTACACGCTTATTTATGTGTTATAGCCACATACAGTACATGTACAGTGCGTGGATGTTGGGGGTTGTCTTGTCTGCTCAGATGCACACAATTGTGATAAAATGTTGTTTGTAGTGTTTCGGGTATTTGTCATCATAACTCACCCTGTCAGAGAGATTTATGATTGTGTGCTATCATTAAGCTTCAGCTTTCTGCCACTGAAAATCCAATTCCTTTTTTTTATTGATTCTCCCCATGTACTGTTATATTTCCAGGGCTGTGCTAGTGTTGACGTTAAAGAAGCTAGCTCTGATGTGGTCTGTCTTAACGATGTAAAGGACTGCTGAAACCATAGCTTGACTTTTTTTGTCTTCTTGACCTAGTACTGAATTATTACATTAAATGTTCTGTTTTGCAAAACTAAAGTGGACATCATAAGATTGAGCATCAGAGCAGAATATGTACCTTTTTGTAAAGATGCAAACATACAACATTTTGGTATTTACATGTGTGCTTTAGTGTGGTGCACGTGTCGAGCTGTCGTTAAGGTTGCCGGGGTATAAATGGAAGCAGAGATTAATATTTTTATTACTGCTGCAGGTGTATGTGAGTGAGCCACCGCATTTGAGTATGTGTGTGTGTGTGTGTCTCTGCCTGCTGATGTAACAGCTTGGCACTTAAAGCTGCAGATTTAGCCTGAGCGTGTGTGTATTGTGCATGAAAGAAATATCAAGTACGTGAGAAACAGAAACAAAAAGTGCCTTGCTGACTCAGGGCAATTTAGATTTTCATTTTGTGGTGGTTACTATGGTGACTGGTTTTGGTGTGGACAGCCTGTGGGGAATGTTATGAGAGAAGTCATCACATTTGTGAAGAGGTGAGAAATGTTTGGTTATGCAACGTGGTGAGCCTAGTGTTTGCATTTTATTAATGCAAATGTGTGTGTGATGTGTACACACCTTCAGTGTAGTGTGTGTGGGTTGTGGAGCATTAAAAATGTATGTGTGAGTTACGTCAAAGCTGGTGAAAAGGTGCTGCAAAGAGAGAGCCTGGGCCTTCACTGTACACTCAAAATCCACTATAAAACAGAGTGTGCTTGAGAAAGGTGGGAATTTTCTCTTTGTATGCCTGTACAATAAAGACATTACCAAATGTCTCTACCATTTTTTATTTCTTGCGTTGAATGTGTAAGATCATAAATACTGAATAATTAAATTAACATTTTTATACATGTTTTTTAATCACATCCACTACTACAAGTGGATTTCCTGTCTATAGATAATAGATAGATAGATACAACTTTATTGATCCCCTTGGTAGAACCTCAGGGAAATTGTTGAAATAATAAGAAATGTTATTTAAAAAAAAAAGTAGAACCTCAGGGAAATTGTTGAATAATAAGAAATAAGAAATGTTTTTTTTTAAAAAAAACATACATATATATATATATATAGTCTGTGCAATGTAGAATTACTGTACGTACATCTAGGAATGGTGTAATTGCTGTTTCTGCATCCCACACTGGTGAAGCACAGTGCGACATCCACGTTTCTTATGTGCTGTGTGCTTCTGTGTTTTGCAGTCACTGTCAGTCCCAAGATGTCTGGACTTTATGGCACATAAGGAAGAGCACTTAGTCCAAATCTGCATAATTGAAGTTTTGCTTTCCTGAGTCAACACTCATGTACTATATGAATATGTGCTCTACAGCCTCTGCCACTTTGTGGGGATTGGAAATTATGTCTATTTAATTAAATTCTCCCATTATGTATTGTTTACAGTAATTTCCTGTAGTTTCATGCATTCATCTGTTTTATTAAATTGCACTCACTGTTGTTTTAATGTATCACAAACATCCTCTTGTTGTCCATTTTCTGTGTAAAAGCCAAAAGAGTGCACGCGTGAGCGTGAAAACAGATGGCGTTCCTGTGTGTTACAATGTCCCTCTCTGTGTTTCCACAGTGAAGAAAGCCAAGCTGGATGGACCCCAAGGTAAGACCTGGGATCCTGGAAAAAAGAGGAGGCACAGAGTGAGAGACTTACTGTTATGTGGCATAAATCTTTAAGCAGGACACGTTGCATACTGCAGCCATGAATGGAAATGGAGGGATAGGAAGGCAGTTACTGTGAAGAAATGTAGCATCTATGTTTCACAGGGACTACAGTATAGTTTTGTAATGCAGAAGTTTTTCAATGTAATGCATCTCGGTTGTCATCCTTTTCTCCTTAACAGAGAAGTTCAACACATATGTGACTCTAAAGGTGCAAAATGTGAAGAGCACAACCATCGCTGTCAGGGGCAACTTGCCCAGCTGGGAGCAAGACTTCATGTTGTGAGTCCTTCATCATCTTCTGACAAAGCTCTCTCTTCTCCTTCAGCACTTCCCCTCTCCTTCCTCTGCATTCTCCTTTCATCCTGCCATCACATTCTCCACTTCAGCTGCTTGAGTGCTTTTGTGTTTTTTTTTTTTTATCTCCTGCTTTCTATCAGCCTCCCTCCCTCCCTTCTTTTTCACTCCTCCATCCCAAGTGCCCTTTATCCCTGTATTGTTTCACATAGCTCTTCCTCTCCGCCTCCAACAACTACCTCATGCTCTTTTTCATCTGCTCTCCCTCGATACTTTCTATCCCTCTCATCCTCATTCTCAACCTTGGCACCCTACCAAGCCCTTCTTTCCCCTCCTCTGCTGCTTCCTCTAAACACAGCTCCTTGATCTTCATCTCAGCACAGCCTCTCGTCCTCCTCTTCTCCCCATTTCACCCCATACTACATCTCCACTCATATTCGCTCTTTTCACTGCCTCTCCTCTTCCTTCTGCTCTCTAGGCATCATCAGCAATCTTTTTTTTTCTTTGAAATTTGTTTGTTATAGCTTGTGTTACAATAAATATTGAATTATCGTTTGTTGCAATCAGTGAAATATTACACAACACAGAGTATTTGGCGTGCAGAGGGACCCAGAGTGGTGCTGACAGTGTAGCAGCATATGGGCAGTAAATGGTGAGAATCATTTAGCATGTGGGATGCAGCAGGCGGGATTACTGCGGAGCCCTGTGCATCTGTATGATGTTCGGAGGCGTTGAGCATTGTACCAGGGTTGCATCAGTGACGCTGTCTTATGTAATGTTTGGGCTGCAGAGAGCGCCTCATGCCCTCCTTCAAACTGCCTTTAAACGACTGTGCCCCCTCAGTCACTGCCATGAATCAAACAGGCACTTTTCTTAAAAGGAGTCACCACTGAGATGGGAAATCCACTCCCTCTATTTCTTAATTAAAGTTCCCACTTTCTCCCTCCAGGCATGCGATACAATCACCTCCTTCACTGCCTTCATCACACTCTTCTCCTCCCTCCCCTTATTCATCCCTCACTCTCTTTCTCTCTCTTTTTCTTTCTGTCCTGCTTCCCGCTGTCTTGTAAATGCTTTATGTTAGATTCTCTCCGGCCTGCTTCCATAGAGACGTGCCGTATATTTGTCACACTGAAGCGCACAAGTAATTATCGTGTATCTTGAGTGTGTCAGAGTGCTTGAGTGTGTTTAGTAAAGGGGAAAGTACTCAGATTCTTTACTTAAGTAAAAATACCATAATGTGACGTTTAAAATTACTTCATTACAAGTCAAAGTACTTAATTCAGTGTCCTACTTAGCTAAGGGTACAATGGCAAAATTGACTCAGAGCATCATAATCAAAGTACAAATTATGAAGAAAAAATTAATACTAATGCAACAATGTGTAAGTATCACGTTACTGCTGAAGTTGAAGCCAGTTTGTAGTATACTGCTCTGTCACTTAGACCAGTGGTTTGCAGCCTCTTTGTTTTGTTTTGTTTTTTTGTTTACACAATGTTGGATAGTTTTAAGGCTGCAAGATGGCTCGGTGGTTAGTATTTTTGCCTCGCAGCAAGAAGGTCGCCAGTTCACGTCCCGGTGAGGACACCCAGGATCTTTGTGCGTGGAGTTTGCATGTTCTCCCCGTGCAGCGTGGGTTCTCTCCCGGTTCTCCGGCTTCCTCCCACAGTCCACAAACATGTTGAGGTTGATTCGAAATTGTCCGTAGGTGTGAGTGTGCTTGGTTGTCTGTCTCTAAGTGTGGCCCTGTGATAGACTGGTGACCTGTCCAGGGTGTCCCCTGCCTTCACCCTGAGTCAGCTGGGATAGACTCCAGCCCCCCCACGACCCTCATGAGGATTAAGCAGTGTATAGATGATGGATGGATGGATAGTTTTACCTGGGACAGTTATTTAAACTGCTAAAAACTCACAGATGCTTGAAATATATTGAAAAAACACAGGTTTTGTGGAAAGCGTCACAAGCTAAAACATTCAGGAACCACTGGTTCTAACTTGATCAATGTTTTGTATTTTATAAGAATAATATATGTTGTCAAGTAAATATCAACTGCAACTTTAAAAAAAAACGTAGTGAAAAAACAGCGACAGCATTATTTTCTTAAATGCAATGTAGTGGAAGTATAAAGTAGCATTAAGTCTTGTGTCTCTTGTTTTCACTGTAAAGCACTTTGGTCACCATTTGGCCTGTTGCAAAGGGCTATGTATATTAAACTTTGATTAATTTAGTGAAATTAGGAATATATAAATTGAAAAAAGTCTAGTATATTAGAACTTATTTACTTTTCCTCACTGTCTTTAAATGTCTTATTAGTACCAAGTCAGTGTCTTTCTCTTGACTTGGAATTTTTCTGCCTTGCTGTCTGTTTGCAGTGAAATTAACCGTCTGGACCTGGGTCTGACAGTAGAGGTGTGGAACAAAGGGTTAATCTGGGACACCATGGTCGGCACCGTCTGGATTCCCCTCCGTAGCATCCGGCAGTCAAATGAGGTTTGTCTTTAGTATCCACCACTTGAGAAATACTCAAGTGGTGGTTAAGGACTCTCTACTCAGTTGTATTTAAGGGGGCTTGCAGCACACGCAGCGTTGGTGGTTGTACTTGTCTTCATCGTGTTATTTTGCCGTGTGTCAGCTGCAAAACATCTTTCTGTACACAGGAAGGTCCAGGGGAGTGGCTCACATTGGACTCTCAGGTCATCATGACTGATAACGAGATCTGCGGCACCAAAGATCCTACTCTCCACCTGGTGCTGCTCGATACGCGCTTCGAGCTGCCTCTAGGTGAGAGATCAATGCTCACGTCAGAAATCAGAAACTGTCGATTGGTGGGAGAAGATGAAAATACGAAACTATAGGAAATCATCAGTCCTGTAGGCGAGGAGGAAATGGAGCAAATAAATTAAGTCTGTCAGTAAATTTTCACAGCAAACGGTGATATATGAACACCAATAGTCTTTGGCTGATTAATTAACCTGACCTACTTTTCAATATGTTTGCCAGGTAGTGTGTGTGTGTGTGTGTGTGTGTGAATGTGTGTCAGAAAGAGGAGTGTGTGTGTCCTTTCCTTCTCAGTGATCAAGCTGTGTTCCTCTCAGCATTGATTAGGTGTCATTTTCATACTGTTTCCTCTTCCTCTAGTCGATATTGTACACCTGACTCCTTAGTTTGTGGACCTGACCTATTTATAGGGATTTGGCTTTAGGCCTGTAACTTAAAAGGCTAGTTTTCAATGTCACTGTATTCTGACTGGGCCAAAGTATCTGCAGTTCTATACTGACGTTATTAAAGCATACAGATCTGGGTCAAACATTATTTAAAAATGTGACGTTTTTCCATACTTTGTCGTCATTCGGGTTGAGTTTGGGACGGAGAACAAAGCTGTTCTCTGGCAGACGGTTTTGTGAATAACTATTTTAAGTGCTTAGGTAGGTGGAGCTCCATTTTGGCTGTTTTTATCACCTGAGTTTGTGTGGCTGGTTGTTTTCAGATATCCCTGAGGATGAGGCACGGTACTGGGCTAAAAAACTGGAGCAGCTCAACGCCATGAGGGACCAAGATGTAAGCTGTCACCCTGTTTGATTTAATACCCCAGAATATCCTTCTGTTGTAGGAACAAAGCAACATGATTAATTGTGCGAATATGCTGCACATTAGAATATTAAATCTAGCAACATTTTTTCTCCACCTCGTGTGTATAGGCATCAAATTTCCCTGTTAATTTCCAGCTAACCACTTTCCTCCGTGTACATTTTTCATTTGTCCTGCTCCTCTTGGCTCCAGTATTCATACCAGGAGGAACAGGAACGCCCTCTCCGTGCGCCAGGAACCCAGTGCTGTGAGTAGCCGATTGCCAGTATGTGCAGAACATGAGAATTGTGTCTTTAGCTGTTAAGATGTAATTAGACTGCTTTAGTTCCGCATGTGTGTTACCACACATGGGTCGCTGTGCGTTAGAGGGTAAAAGGGCCTGGATTGCTGCACTGTATGGGATCAATAGCGATATCAGATGTCCAGAGGCAAGCAGACTATTGGCCCGGTCTGCAGAGCTTGCTGAGCCAGCTGTCTGGGGCAGCTGGAAAGACTTGGAGGCTCAGCACTCACTCTGGGCTCTCTTTCCACTCGCCAGCTCCATCTGGGAACTTTGAAGCGTTAATGGTGTGAATGCATGTTTACATTTGAACACCAGCGCAATTCATAATCAATACTGACACCCTCATGTTTCACTGCAGGTAACTGGAGTCTGTGGGGAGACCAACAAAGTAAGTGTACAAACAGTACATACACTCCAGTACTTTAACAGAGAATTCAACTTTAGATTTGAAATGAAACAATACATTTTTGGGAGTGCTGACTTTGAGATTCAATATTAAGTGTTTACCAAGAGCATTGTAAGACTGCTCGTCCTGACTTTGTCCTTCTACACTGTTGTAAAAAAAATGGAGGAAACATCTATTGTAGTGGTCTCAGCATGAAAAAAGAGAAACTAAACAGCAACATCTCGTTTCAGAGGCAGTTTTACTAAATACTTCTAGATAATGATCAGGCCTCAGCAGCTTTAAATGGGACTGATTCTTTGGTCATGAGAACTTCCACTGAAAACCAGTGAGGTCTGTGCATTACCCAGAATTGTTACATTTCAAACCTAGTCTTTGCAGTACAGGTTCATGATAATGAAAAATATAAGCACTGTCCTAATAGACATGACGTAAACTGTCCACACTGCACCCAGTGAACTTGTAGTGTACTGTATATATATATTTATATACATACATGCAATATATTGGATGCACTTATTGATGCAGAAAGTCCCCTATGTCCCTCTACGTCCCTGCCCGTTGCTTTCGCTCTTGTTGTGATTAGCAGATGGTCTTATGTAAGAGCCTGCCAGACTCACCCACACAACTGCAGCGATTCATCTCATCTCTGTTCACTCAGAGGATAAAAGAAAGAGCAGGGGGGTAATGATGGATCGGTGAGCTGATGAAGTGACTGAAGGAGAGAGAGAGAGAGAGTGAGACATATGGGGACATGGTTGAAGTGAGAAATCAAGTTCGATGCCTTTAATTAGTGTTTACATGTCCAGACAGATGAAGATGAAGGTGTAGGAGCTGCAGCAGCTGCCTTCGTCAGTGACTTTCAGCGTGCGAATGATGATGATGGATAATGATGAATGATTAATTGATAACTGGTTTTACTTTTGACTGCTTCAGCACTGTTAGAGTCTCAGATCGCCTTCCTCTGGGATGTTAATCTTTGATCTATGGACACCAGAGGAGAGTCAAGCTTCTCCTCAGTGAGCAGAACAGATTGATGTTCAGTTATGATGATGATGAGACTGAGGGGAAGGCGCTGATGATGTCCATCATGTGTTTCATGTATGAATGCACTCTGAATGACCCATATGGGTCTAACTGGGGTTCAGCAGTGGAATGCTGCCAGCACATCTATATTATCTCTAATTACCATAGTACTTAAAGATTGGTTCAGCACTGATTAGAGCCTCTTATCTCTGTGCCGTATGCCAATGTGTCGATTGAGATCATCCATTTCACAAGATTTTTTCCCCTTTTTTCTCTGTTCTTTTTAGTTTTTCATTTGCTGCTACTTCACTCTATGTGAAAAACAAACTGAAATATTTTTTCTTCATGTTGCGTCTGCATGTGCTTCTGTGCAGATGAAGACCCAGATAGTGCTGTGGACGACAGAGACAGCGACTATCGCAGTGAAACCAGTAACAGCATCCCCCCTCCGTACTACAGCACATCCCAGCCCAACGCCTCTGTCCACCAGTATCCCATCAGCCACCAGCACCGCAGCTCCAGAAGTTTCTCGTACCCGCGCTCTGGCAACAGCCACGACCTCGACTACCACCATCAGAGAACTGTCAGGTGTGTGCCTACTTTAGTGTAATTAGGGCAGACAGTAATGCTTATGGCCATTACCAGCTCAGTTATGTCTTTGTTGCTTTTTATTTGTTCGCTTCTGTGAAGTTGTGAAAATTGCACATCACGCTTTCCCAGAGCAGCAGGTGACTTCAGATGGGGTTGTGGTGTGTTCCGACAATAGTCCACTTGAGTTCATAATGATTTTGTACAGAAACTCCAGCAGCGAGTTCTCACATCTGAGCTGGAACCTATGAGCCTTTGGCATTTTTGCTTGATAAATGGCTTCAAAAAGACATAAAATAATTGTGTTTTTGCAGATTAAAACTTTATAATTTGGGAGGTTTTGCCTGACTTTGATAAACAAGCTAAGGTTATTATACATTAAAAAACAGCTGATTCTGAGGGGGTCAAGTGGGAGACACTGATTAATTTTTCACAAGATGACCCTTAGGTTAGTACTAGGCGTGTGCCAGATTATTTGTGAGATTTTAACATAGCTCACAGCAGATATTTTGACCTCCTATAGCAGGAAAAGCCCAGGTGTTACTGAGAAAAATTGGTTCTGTTTTGTTCAAGTGTCCTAGTAATGCATGACAGTGTGACTGTGAGCTAGGATGCACAAAACCCTGGAACCAAAGCTGCTGAAAAGAATTCAGCCATCATTATTTTCTTAAGTACAAACTGCTAATAGGGCCTATTAATGAATGAATATAGTTGATGACGTTCTGCCATGCTACTTGTGCGTATACAGGTCCTTCATTATGTCGCTCAGACCAAATGCTATTTTTCTTTCAGAGTTGTTTACAGTACTTGTTACATTTCTGAGAATTCATTGAAATATTTCTCACTGACTGGGAATGAAAATGTGCATCCATCCTCCTTTTGCTTAATGAATTATTCAATTGGCAATCTAATGGTCAATACTTTAAGATTAGCTGCTTGTGTGAGTGTATTGGACAGGGCAACCTCCTCACACCCCCGCCCATTCTTCTTCATCTCCTCCTCCCTCTGTGCTCTCTCTCTCTCCTTCTATTTTGTCTCTTGGCTCACCACTCCCTTCTTGTCTGTACGTTCTCCCTCTCCCCCATCTATCCTCCTTCTTCTCTGTGCCTCTATTCTGTTTTTAATAACCCCATTCATCAAGGAGTATAAATACTTTTTCCCTGTTTGTTGCATTTCTGGATGCTTGTTCTTTTTCTTTTGTCAGCTTTCTGGAGGCCTCTCACCTTGCTGTTCTGCTCTATTTCTCGCTACTTGTCTGGTACTCTTGTATCCCCGGTGCTTTCCATTGATTAGCCATCAGCATTATTCCTGGCCACCCTCAAGACATGTAGAAAAGGTGTTTAGTAGGGCTGTCCAATATAGTACAAAGTGTACAGGCTATAAAGTGCTTTACTACAATGCTCTGTAAGCAGTTTTGAGATTATAGTTCACAAAGGTAGACCATTTACTGTACTCATGTGTACGAGTTCATTAGTATACATGCAATAATAAAGTGTTTTTATGTTCATTATTAAAAACTGCAACCCTCTTTACTACCTCTGTTCTCTCCAGGGCACGTTGCTGCTTTGCATTGTAACTCTCTCCTCTGCTCTCCTTCCTCCAGCCCTACAGGGAGCTATGCATCGTCTGCAGAGCTCAGCCGGTGCAGCAGTCAGCTGAGCGAGGAAGACTACGGCGGTGAGTACGGAGAGAGGGACCCTTACGATGAGAATGACTCCTACCACTCCTGCCACTCCTCCGTTAGCTACAGTAAAGGCTCTCCAGACTGGGACCCCGATGAGACGCAGGGGGCGTACAGCGATGAGGGTGGCTACAGCAAAGATGGAGGAGAAGAGGGCGCTCTGTACGAGGAGGATGACGGAGGATTATACGAGGGAGAAGAGGAAGGCCTCTATGAGGATGAGGAGATGATGTACGATGATGAGGATCTGTACAATTTGGACGGGACCCTCAGTGAGGACATGGAGCCTCCGTTCACTCCTACTCCTACGTCAACTGCCCCTCCGACACTCGATGCATCCGGCTCTAGACCTCCTCTAGAGAAACAACCGTCCCTGCACCAACAGCAGCCTCCCACTCAGCCCCCTAACCAAACATCCAACCAGGCTCATCCTCCTGGGATGGCACCAACAGCACAGCCCCCTTCTGGTCAGCAAGCAGCCCAACCACCTAAACAACCCCAGCCGCAAACACAGCCTCAGCCACAACCAGCCCCATCCGCCACTTCTTTCTTCTCAATGGCCAAACCTCTAACAGCTGCAGTTACAGGCTTGGCTTCGACTTTCCTGTCTTCTGTTCCCACTGCCCAGCCTGCCCAGTCTCACCCTCCAGCCTCAGCTGTACCTCCACAACACCAGTCTGCTCCAGCCAGCTCTGTCCCTCCATCCCACCCAGCCACCTTGGCTAACTCAGCCGCCCAGCCCCCCTCCACTGCCACGGGCCCTTCCTCTCAGCAGCCCCCATCCACTACGTCCCCTCAATCCCAACTCAATGATCCTGCCACCACACAGTCAGCTGCTCTTGAGGACCAGGGTCCCCAGCAGGAGGAAGAGCCATGGCTGGAAGAGGAAAGGATGTTGGAGGAAGAGGCCAGGACACCCCCGGATCAGCTTGAGGAGAAGATTCCCATGGAGCTGGAAGACGAGCAGTTCGAAGAGAGCAGACTGCTGACGCCAGTCGAGGAAAAAGAGATGCCACCTGAGAGGTAGGAGTGAAGGTTGAAAGGGAATCCAATCGATGAACTGAATCATCAGCAAAAAATAGACTGTAAAAGAATCAATAAGTCACAATTGCTGGAAGTGTGTCAGCTGAAAACATTTTTCATAGAAAATCAAAACATGTTTTTTCTTTCAGTCCTCCAGTTGTAGAGGAGCCCAAAGAGCCAGTTGACCCAGCAGTCAGAGCCAAAGAGAACTGGCTGAGGCTCTACAACAAGGTCTTAGAGCAGCTTCGGGAGGTAAGTGCACCAAATTCATCCCAGTGCCAGCTCTGGTTCAAGCCCCACCCTTACTTCAATTTCCAGTCCAGTCCTCCTAACAGTCCCGTCAAATCCCAGAGCTGTGGGCCTGATTCACCCCACACTGTAATCTAAAAGATGTACCTGAGTTCAAGAGACTCTAAAAGTGTCTACCAAGTCTTTGAAATATATATGTGTTGTGCATTATTTATGTGCAGAGGCTGGGTACATACAGTAACTTTCTGAGTTCTATTTTGATCGTTTGATTTTTTATTTTTTTTTGCCAGACGTCAGAAAACAGGCTTAATGTGTTTCATATTCTATAATTGATATCTTTTGGTAGAATAAAAATACTTGTCAGACAGCAACCTTTTTATTTGAGTTTGGGTGCAGCACCACACCACTGCTTGACAGAACTGCTTGATTTAGTTTGGCACATTTAGTTTTGCTTGGCCAGTTTTCACTTACATATTTTATTTACATATTATGTTGCTATTCATTACTTTTGAATTCAGTTGTGCAAAGAAATAATCACTTGCTTCGATGTTTATGTTGATGTATGTGGCGTTGCGTTTTTGTACGTTTGGCTTCCTTTCCCCTGTCTTTATTTTTTTGTTTGTTTGTGCCGACCCACTTTGTTTTCTTTCCAGTTTCATGTCATTGCCATAGTGACACTCACATGCACTTTGCTCGGCCATCATTGGAGCATGCTTGCAGGTAGGTACCACCTGAATGGTTGCTTGAGAGAAAGAAGGAGATACATCTGGTTGAAATCCTCACTGTCTATAAACAGGCAACTTCACTTTGTTCATTCATCTTCACAACAATTCAATCTTTTTTTTATTTTGTATTTTGCAAGAGCTGTCCTCCAGTCTGGTTCTCCAGAAACATATTTAAATTGAAATGTTTCTTTTTTTTTTTTGCATAGTTACATAACCAATTCATGTATTCTGAAATGAAATTAATAAGGGTAACACTGAGTAGCTGCTTTTTTGTTATGAATTGTGCTTGCATATGGATTATATATATATTTGTACATTTCATCAGCTTTATTTACGCACTAATCCACTTTCAACCACTGATACAATATAACACACGGGACTTTAGATGCGAAGAGTCTGATAAAGCAGTTTCCTTATCAGAAATGTTTCATTGAAGTAATGTAGCCCATTCATACAGTATATTAAGGCTAGAAAAAGAGGCAGGGACAAAACTTAAGATGGATTCTTTTCTTTTTATTAATTTCCTTCTTTTTCTCTTAGGCTCGTGGAGAGACCTCCAGCTCGCTGTGGTTTGGTAAAGGAGGGTGAGTTTCCTCCCATATTTTTTTTCCCCTCTTCCGTGAAAACAACTACATATGAGTCAGTGTATTAGTTAAAATAATGCAATATCTCCCGAAATTAAATTAATGTTATCCTCAGCTCAGTGGGGAAATCTACCATCGCTGCTTCAGATTGAAAATGCTCTTCTTTAGCCTGGGAATCCTCTGTTCTATTTCATTCTGGTCCACATCCTCATTCAGCTTGTGGCATTTGGCCAGTGAGCACTGAACAGCACTGGGCTGCCCTGACTTAGCTGGCAGGTCATTTGTAGATGAGGCAGACCTCGGAGTGAAACTGCGGCTGCATACTGAAGAAGTGCTAAGTTAGCCAAATAGAAACCCGGCAATTACACCGGGTGTGTAGAGTGTCATGCCCACCATTTGAGACGAGGCAGCCGGAGTAATTAAAGTCACCAGGGAAGTCCTTGAGAAGTCCTTGACTAACTAAGAAGTAAAAACAAGAGAGATAAATATATCAGCCCTTCAGTAGCAAAACATGATTTCATAGTAAGACGTTTTGATGATAGAAATGTTTGCTCCAGTTTTAGTACTGAAGAGTGTACAAATAAACGTATAATGATTCATACTTTTCTCATTCAGAATGGGAGGCGCGCTCTTGAGTATTGACAGCATGCCTGACCTTCGCAAGAGGAAAGCCATTCCTCTTGTCAGAGATCTGGTGAGAAAACAACATGAACGCACACACATAAAATACACCATTTTCGTGGGGTGCCCTGAAATCGTTTTTGTGAAGACATTATTGGTTCCCTACTATCATCTATCCTCTCTATCATCTCTTTTTCTGCCTCTGTTGTAGCTGTTTTTTTTTTGTTTTTTTTTTACACTCCGACGTCTACACATGGTTTCACTTCTTCATCTCTGACTTCCCACCATTCTATTTGTTATTATCAAAAGTGAATATACTCATAAATGCTGTCTTTGTTGAATTCTGACTCTTGTTCCTCCTACAGCTTTAATTGTATAACTATGGTCTTAATGTAATTATGGTAGTTAACCTGTGTAGCTTAGCTGTTCTATTCAAGAGGTTGGGACATACTTGTCAGATTTCTTGTTATATTTATTTATTGTCTGCCTACACATACATACAAATCATAAAGACTTGTACAGCTTAGTGTTTGAATTTCCTAAAATATTCTGTCTTTTTTTCCACACTTTTCTCCCCTTTAACTCTCCGTCCTGTCTTTCCTCATTGCCTGGACTCATTAGGCGATGGTGAGTATTTGTTTATCCCTGAAAGAAATCAAATGTAACTCCACACTGAAGTTCACATGGAAGCATAAACACTTTTCTCTTTGCCCTCTTGTTCTCAGTCTCTGGTGCAAAACTCACGCAAGGCTGGAATCACCTCGGCCATGGCTTCCACCACTCTGGGCAATGAGGAGCTGGTGGGTTTTATCCTCAGGGTCCTTTTTTCCGTCTTCAGTATCTTGAAACATTTAATCACTGCTGGAATCAAACTTTTATTTCTTTTCTCCATGGCGCTTACAGAAAAGCCACGTTTATAAAAAGACCCTGCAGGCTCTGATCTACCCCATCTCCTCCACTACTCCACACAACTTTGAGGTGTGGACAGCCACCACCCCCACCTACTGCTATGAATGCGAGGGATTGCTGTGGGGTATCGCACGCCAAGGCATGCGCTGCTCTGAGTGTGGTGTCAAATGCCACGAAAAGTGCCAGGATCTCCTCAATGCTGACTGTCTGCAGAGTAAGATCACAAACATTTTTGCAGGAATGCACATTCGTGTACGCTGTTAAACATCTACCTTTACTTCAACACACATACACCTGACTGTCTACACAGACCCAGAACTATTTTAGCTCCTCCTCTGAATCCTTCTGCCCGATTGACATCCCATTATTCTTGTCCTCTATCCACTCTCACATTCTCCTCCCTCTTCCTTTCCAATTTATCTCCTGAGTAATGTGCTGTCATACCCCTGCCTCTTTTTCTCTCTCTCGTCTACCCATAGCCTCTGCATCCATACTGTTTTGTGTAATTCTGCTCCACAAGGGGTGACTTATTCAATTCCCATACTTTCAGAGTCAGTCTATGCAATGCATAATTTATCTCTCTCCTGTGTTCAAAGAATCTTTTAAGATCTTGTTGCCAAAAACATGTGTTGATCTTAAACACTCGCTTAGCAAACTGCTTTTTCCTGACCAGATCAGTGGTTAAATGGATACAGTTTCTGCCATTGTATTAGGAGGTTTGGGGTTTGGTCTCTAGCCAAGGAATGTCTTTCAAAATTGATTGGATGCTATCTTAACTCGGCACTCAGCTTTAAAGAGATGTATTGCAGGGAAACTGGAGATAAGCTGGTTGGCCTATGGGCCATATTGCCTTGCATATATACACTCTCTATATATATTCTTTGCGTGTCCCTTATTGAAACGTTTTTCTAATCAGGAGCTGCAGAGAAGAGCTCCAAGCATGGGGCAGAGGACCGGACCCAGAACATCATCATGGTCCTGAAGGACCGCATGAAGATCAGAGAGCGGAATAAGCCGGAGATCTTTGAGCTCATCCAGGAAGTATTTGCTCTCGACAAAACAGCACATGGAACGCAGATGAAACAAATCAAGCAGAGCGTGCTCGACGGGACATCCAAATGGTCAGCAAAGATCAGCATCACAGGTGAAATTAAGTGTTCTTTTTCTTTAGCAGAATCAAGCATTTAAGGAGAGAGTGAGAGAGAGTCATGTGCAAATTTGAAAGTGCACTGAGGCAAGCCTGTGGTTATTTTTTTGGTTTAATAAATAAAACCAACATGCTGTCCATAATTTATGTTTTGGATATAGATGTCATGGTATCTTGCAGTAGTGCTGTTTTGTTATTACTGACTGAAAAATTCCACAGATTTGATACTCATTCAGAAAGTATTGAGAATTCTTCACTGTTGTAACATTGTGTTATGTTGCAGACTTACACTGAAATCTCTACCATGACAAAGCAAAAACGGAATGTTAATTTTTGCAAAGGTATTACTGGAAAAATATTTTGGCATGCCATATTTCACAGAAGTTTGTACACCACTATGCACTTAGATGTCAAATGATTAAAAAATGTATTGCTATAAAAAAAAATTACGTTAAAGTAACAGATCAGATTTACTATTTTAAAAGTACATGGCCTATGGTAGGAATTCAGTCACAACAAAAGTCAGCACACCTCAAATTATCGAGATTAAAATCTTTTTCCAGTACTTCACATGTCCACTATTATTTTTCATGACAAACTCAATCATATCAGTACACAAAGGGCTCTTTAAATCCTAAATCAAAGCAGTGTGGAACAACCTTTCAACAGCTGGCTGTCTGACCAAACGGCACAATTAAGGGAGAAGGGGGGGAAAAAGTGACCAAAATAAAGCTAAAGGAAAGCAGAATTGAGCAAAAAGCATTAATACCCTTAATGAAAACCTGCTCTGGAATGCTATGGACCTCAGAATGGGCTGAAGCTAAACTTTCCAGCAGTTCAATGACCGTCAGCACACAGCCAAGACCTCACTAGGGTGGCTTAGGGACAACTTTGTGAATGTCCTTCAGTGGTCCAGCCAGAGCACTGACTTGAACCTAATCAAACATCTCTGGAGAGACCTGAAAATGGCTGTCAGCCAACTGTCCCCATCCAACTTGACAGACCTTGAGAGGATCTAAGAGGAATGACAGGATGTCCCTAAATCAAGTTGTGCAAAACTTGTTGCATCCAACCCAAGAAGAAGACTCAAGGCTGTAATGGGTGTGAATACTCATGTCTATGTGATATTTCAATTTTTCCTTTTTTCCTAAGAATTGCAAAAATTTCTAACAGTCAATTTTTGATTTGTGAGTGTGGGGTGTTGAGTATAGATTGATGAGGGGAAAATGTATAGAAACAATTTTAACACAAGACTGCAGCATAACACAATGTGAAAAAAGTAAAGGGGTCTGAATAATTTCAGAATGCACTGTTATTTGAATATAAAATGAAAAACAGCTTGTTCTAGACCTATACAGTGTAAGGGCATGTCATCTGACAGCTGTCGATTTCTTTTTTTAAGCGTCTCTTTGTCTCTCACCTCATCTGCAGTGGTGTGTGCTCAGGGCCTTCAGGCTAAAGACAAAACAGGCTCCAGTGACCCTTATGTAACTGTTCAAGTTGGGAAGACCAAGAAGAGGACCAAGACCATCTACGGCAACCTCAACCCTGTCTGGGAAGAGAACTTCCACTTGTAAGTACAATGAGTTTAAAATGCTAAATTGTCATTTTATGTCACTATAAAGAATGCTGTCTAATTTAGGGCTATACCTCATAAAACCTATTTGTAGCCTCTGAACCCCAAACCCTGCTGGTGGGTTTGAAATGGCATGTTATCCTTAACAGCCCTGGGAAAATGACACCATTTGTCAGAACCAGAAAGTGTAATGACAGAAACAATGGATTTTCAGCTTTCCAATGATCCTTGAACTAAATGACTATTATGTGCTGCTCCATTGGAAAGCTCTAAATGGTGATATTGGATTAAATCACTTTATTTTACTTTTCTTGTAAAAAAAAATTGGCCAAAATAAAACATGCTCTAACTAGATTCTGCTAAAAACAATAAATTCTGCTCTTCTTGTTGCAAATGTGAAACTAGTTATGATTCAGCTGCGACCGATAGTCACGTGACAAAAATAAAGGGACTTATTGGCTGATCTGGGTTGAACTACAGGTTGTGTTTTCATGAAGCCCATAGAAGATGAGAATAAAAAGAACATTAAATGTAATTAGTACAATATTTATATTATGTAGAGTCATAATTTCTCTCCAGTATTGGTGTCTCTTTGTGGCACTTGGAAAAATGTTGTACATGTTGATCCCAATTTTTTTTTAAAAATTGGTTAAAAAAGATTTAAGACATTGTAACTTTGCTATACTAAACAAAATGTATTTTTGAGTTATTTCTACTTCTAGTCGTGGTTGTGCTGTTTCCTTAGAGGTGCAGGACTTTATACTGCAGCAAAAAATGAGCATACAATGACTAAAATTGTGACAGAAGGGAAAAAAAACATCAGTGACCATTAGAGAACCATGCAGTGCTTAGAGTGTGTTTTCCCTTGTTTTCTCCACCTTCTGTTCCTTTGCATTACCGTTGCTAACTTCTGATGTTGTCCCACTATTTCTGTCTCCAGCGAATGCCACAACTCGTCTGACCGCATCAAGGTTCGCGTGTGGGACGAGGATGACGACATCAAGTCTCGAGTGAAACAGAGGTTCAAACGTGAGAGCGACGACTTCCTGGGTCAGACCATCATCGAAGTCCGCACTCTGAGCGGAGAGATGGACGTTTGGTACAACTTGGGTGAGTGGATGACTGGAGTGAGCCACGTAGAGTTAACAGCACAAGAAACACATGATTCAAGTGTTTGTCTGCTGTGGGCAGAACAGATTCTTGACAATTAAAGAGACATGAATATCTCACTTTTGTGCGACAGACAAAAGAACAGATAAGTCTGCCGTGTCGGGAGCCATCCGGATGCACATAAGTGTGGAGATCAAAGGAGAGGAGACGGTGGCTCCTTACCACGTCCAGTACACCTGTCTGCATGAGGTCAGTCTGGCTGGACATCTGGTCGAAACCCTCCAAGTGTCTGAGTGATTATTTGCACTTACGTTTTAAATATAATATACAAACACGCAAGAGCTGCCTACTATCCCAATTTAATCAGTTCCAGTGAATTTAATTCTGGGTTTCATATTAACATAATCAATCACTGTGGAAAATACCCTGGGAAATTTTCCTTGTGATGAAAGATACAATTACCAACATTTGACCAGTTATGACAATTTTACAGTTCTATTTATTAATAATTGTCTGACATTATTGAGCTATTTTCATTAGTATAGGAGGTCATGAATGGACACAATGGCACATATAACACACATAAAGTCCTATTTCACTGTTTTATGTACAGTTCTGATAAACATATGTCTGTGTTTTTCCTAAAATGATCCATGTGGACTTTTCATCTGGCTGATTAGATACATTACTGGTAGTAACAATATGAGCAATAGCTTTAGCCACCACATTGCATTTACCTGTCCTTTGTCTGCGTTCAGCATTTGTTCCAGTACACCACCGAGGAGCAAAATAGCGGGGTAGTAAAGATTCCTGATGCCAAAGGAGACGACGCCTGGAAGGTGTACTTTGAGGAGACGGCTCAGGAGATTGTGGATGAGTTTGCAATGAGATACGGAGTGGAGTCCATCTACCAGGCAATGACGTCAGTACCTTAAGCTAAATGTCGAACTTTTGGATTTGAACAGAATTGCTTTTATTCCACTTGCAGTTAAATGACTTTATAGTTTATTTATTCATCAGTAATGGGTGCATGAGAAGAAAGTAAATGTACTAAAAAATTTTTGTTTTTTTCGCTCTTTCTGCTCCACAGCCACTTTGCCTGCTTGTCATCTAAATACATGTGCCCAGGGGTGCCAGCTGTGATGAGCACCCTACTGGCCAACATCAATGCTTACTACGCCCACACCACCCAGTCCTCCAACAATGTTTCTGCCTCGGACAGATTTGCTGCATCGAACTTTGGCGTGAGTCACTGACAAATGCTTTGTGATATCTTGCCCCTTTTCCATGCATGTAGCTGCAACTGAAAAATGCTAGAAGATGATAGCGCTCTTAAAAACTCAGAATAAATGGCAAACTGTTCATAGCAACAAGGTTGTACCTGAAAGTCAGTTAACGTGTCCCCTCCTATTTCCAATCAGCTGAGCCTCGCCCGATCCCCCTTGAGTTTACATAGTCAAATGTGAACAAATAGTGTGTCAGTTGTGTTGCATTTCTGAGTGGTTTGTTCTGTTTTTGTGTCTTCTCTCTCTAGAAGGAGAGGTTTGTCAAACTGCTGGATCAGCTGCACAACTCCCTGAGGATTGACCTGTCCATGTATCGGGTATTCACTGCTTCTCTCTGTTATAGAAAAAGAAAATGCTGAACTGTTTGATTCTAAATGACATACTGCCTACGTCGTCTCATGAGTGATTGTGATTATCCAGCTCTTGCTGACCACATCTGTTTTGAGCTATTTTTGTGTGTACATGTATGTATTTGCTTGTCATCTGTTCAAGGTCTGTGATGAAAACGTGATTGTTTAGTGAGGATTACGAGTAGTCTTTGTAATCTTTATCTCACTATTAGAGAAAATGGCATGTTTTAAAGCTAAATTGACAATTTTGTGCAGCATTTTATAATGTTCTGTGTTTGTGAATGTGCTTTCAGAATAACTTCCCTGCCAGCAGTCCTGAAAGGCTACAAGACCTCAAGTCCACTGTTGACCTGCTGACTAGCATCACATTCTTTAGAATGAAGGTAAGAATGAATGTCTGCTGGTTATTTTTCTTTTTTTTTCTTCTTTTTTTTCTTATTTCATCAGCTGAAAACTAAACATGGTGCAAATTTGCAGTGCATTCTGGAAAGTGGCCTGAGGCACTAATTGAAAATCAGCTTAACATTACCTTATCCAAACTGAAGCTATTAGCATTAGCGCGTGTGTGTTTGTGTGTGTGTGAGGGTGCTAATGTATATTGTTGCATTTGTGCAGTTCAGTGAGTTTGTGTTTAAATTCCCAGTGAAACAACCTCCTGGTAAGACTCCGTGTGTCTGACAGATACTTGGTCCAGAGTTGTTTTTGATTCAGCCATATGCTGTGTAATGTTTGTGTTCAGGTCCAGGAGCTGCAGAGTCCCCCCAGGGCGAGTCAGGTGGTGAAGGATTGCGTTAAAGCCTGTCTCAACTCCACCTACGAGTACATTTTCAACAACTGCCACGACCTCTACAACAGGGAATATCAGACAGATCCTGTAAGTTTGTTTGTAATAAATGTCTTACCAGTACATTATTGCCACACTTTAGTGCCTCCACTGTGCTCTCACTGTGCTACGACAAAGACATTTTTGATGGATGCAGCTGTTACGGAATAAATCCACAACATCTTTCTCTTTCCAGTCAAAAGCTGTCCCTCCAGATGAGCAGGGCCCCAGCATCAAAAACCTGGACTTCTGGTCGAAACTCATCACCCTCATTGTCTCCATCATAGAGGAGGACAAAAACTCATACACGCCTTGCCTTAATCAGTGAGTGTGTGCTCTTAACGTTGGCCTAATTCCTCAAATGTGTCATACAGAGGCAATGTTTGAGAGTTTCTAAGAAGCTGTATGAGGCAACAGCTGTATGGGATTTTTTTAATTTTTTTATTTTTTTAAGTGAAACAGCAGAAACAGGCCAAACGTCAAACAAACAGCCTTTCTTTGTTTTTAGAGGCATGTCCTGTCAGTCTTAGAAAGGAAAATAAAGAAGCCCTACAGCATCTAAGAATATATAACAGTTACAAAACAAAACATCCAACTGCACGGTATTAACAGCAGTATATTTCTGTATTATATTTCTGTAATTGCAGTAAACTCTTAACAGCTCTCTATAAAGACGAGCAGTTCTTGCACAACAACAGCATTGGTGGGTGTGGCAAGTCCGATTTTAAAACATTTAATTTAATATTAATGATAATGGATTTAAATGAACCCACTGACTTTGCTTTGGAAAACAATGAGAATCGTAGTATCTTGCTAATTTCACAATGTCTTTAGTGTATTTGTTTTTTGTTTTTTTTTTCTGTAGCAGCTGAAAACATACAGAGGAAGCACTAATGCAGTTACTTTAAAACGAGCCTGGGTTGTCTTGTTAAATAATACAGTACCATTACTGGATGGAGAGCTGGATTTAGATCTGAGTACTGTAATATCTCTTCTAGATTTCCCCAGGAACTCAATGTAGGCAAGATCAGCGCTGAGGTCATGTGGAACATGTTTGCACAAGATATGAAATACGCCATGGAGGGTAAGTATGTTGTGTGTGTTTTGTTCGGATGGTGGGTCACAAACTACTCTACATATGTGGAAACAGAGGGAGCGTATTGTGGGACTTTCCTCATTTGTTCTTTCTCTTTGATATTCAGAGCATGAAAAGAACCGCCTGTGTAAAAGTGCAGATTATATGAATTTGCACTTCAAGGTTAAGTGGCTCTATAATGAGTACTGCAAGGAACTGGTCACTTTCCAGAAACATGTACCTGAATATCCAGCGTGAGTATTGTACACAGCTGCTCACCTTTCCTGATGCGTTTACCTCTGAGGCACAAAGATTTATGCTTCTTGTCATTCTTTGCCGTGCAGATGGTTTGAGCCGTTTGTCGTCATGTGGTTGGACGAGAATGAGGAAGTGTCCAGAGATTTTCTCCACGGAGCCCTGGAGAGAGACAAAAAAGACGGGGTAACTGTTTTCATCTGTGTTCTTAATATGAAAACTATGAAGCTGTTCTCGTATTTTCATGTGTTCCACACCTGAGAATCCACACCTGTTGCTTCTTCTGCTTCTGCAACATTAAAACTTATTTGAAGACACCTAAAAACTTCTGGTTAAACTTGTAGTCAAGGTGCAGTTTTTGCTGTTTAAGGAATTGTTCATTTTGATGACTACAAAAATGTGGAGAAATAAACAGGCAGTTATGGGAGACTAAAGTTTAACTAGAATTCAACAATCACATTTTGCTGAGACTGCAGTGGAATACATTATAAGAAGCTTAAAAGTAATCTACCTGTAGCATCCCCCCCGAAAAATGTATTCATGCATTTCTCATGCAAATTTGGGATGTTCACATCATCCCTCCGACTCAGCACATTCCAAGCTGCGAAGAGCAGATTGAAGGCCTCAAGGCAATCAATAATGAGTCAATACCAGCGGCAAGTGGAAAGAAAAAAAAAACTTCACTGCGGAACCGAGCAGATGCTACAGCGCAAGTCGATGTACACACACGCAGCGTCTCACACTGCCAGTCTCTCTCACGCCAACATATCCGCACACAGCAAGAAGGTCGATACAAAGCAGCTGAAGATTCTCCCAGCTCATATGTCAGCGATCCTTTGGGTCCAATTACTGTCGCCCGAGGCAGCTTCAGCTTTCCTGTGTCAGCAAAACAGCAGTCCCCAGGCTCGGTCACATACCATAACACTATTCACTTCTGGGCTAATGGCCAGACTGTTAATGAGCGCTCTGTTCCCCATCATAACCCTCTCATCGCCGTGATCCAAACGCTTTCAGAGGAATCGCTCAGTTTCATCGTCCCTGATGTGTGGCAGAGCTGTGAACTTTTCCCATAGGTGGCCCTTTGGGGAATCAAAACCCCTACTTTCAGTAAAAGTCATGTTCAGGTCAGTACTATAAACACCTTCTCATACGTTTCCCTCTTTTTTCTTCTCGTTCTCCAGTTCCAGGTTACGTCAGAGCACGCCTTGTTCTCCTGCTCGGTGGTGGACGTGTTCTCTCAGCTCAATCAGAGCTTTGAAATCATCCGCAAACTGGAGTGTCCCGACCCTCAGATTGTTGGCAACTACATGAAGAGATTCGCCAAGGTGACTTTGCCCCTCCTGATGCTCGTACAGAATGTCTTTACGTTAGCAGCCACTCTAATCGAATGCACTTCTTACCGTAATTCTGCATGTTCCATAATTTATGTTCCTTTCTCGTAGACCATCGGCAATGTCCTGCTGTCTTACGCTGACATCATAGCGAAGGACTTCCCAAATCATGTCAAGAAAGAGAAAGTGGTGAGCGTCCGTGATATTTCAAAGTGGAATACGACAGACAAGCTTGACGCAGCACGGTAGCAGATGGAAATTTTTGTAATTTAAGCTGCATTTTAAGAAGTACGCAGTTTCGTGTTTGTGTTCCAGTTGATTAATTTGAGCACAATAAACTGCTCTTCAGTGTAATAGCTGTGCCCAGGTTGCAGTGTTCAAAGTGAATTAGGGTTGTGTAATTAGCTGAATGTGGTATAGGCTCTGGGAAAAGTGGGCTGCACTCCCAGAGAGACCGGGAGCCTCCAGAGGAGCAGTAATTACTGAAAACTCCAGCTTCCCCTGCCCTGCATCACCCAGAGTGTTTTTGCCAAAGAAGCAATAAAAAAAAAAAAAAAAAAGTTTAGAGGACTAACCTTGATTGATTACATTAAAAAGCTGGGAGCAGACAGGGGAGAGAGAGAGAGTGTGAACGAGACAGAAATGTGTGTGTAATGATTTTTCTCTGTCTCCCCTCAGCCATGTATCATAATCAATAACATCCAGCAGCTCAGAGTTCAGTTGGAGAAGATGTTTGAGGCCATGGGAGGCAAAGATGTGAGTTTCCATGGATGCTGTTTTTGTTGTGGTTGTCCCAATATGTCATGGCTGTTTCACTCATCACTTCTATCTTCTTCCAGCTCAACGTGGAGGCCAGTGACTTCCTGAAGGAGCTGCAGAACAAGTTGAACAGCGTCATGGACGACCTCAGCCGCATCTTTGCCGTCAGGTGGGTGTGTCGGTTTGATTTCCGAATGAAACCAGCCACAACCAGGTTCTAGAGGCAATTTCAAGGTTTGTTCTCATGTTCTTCTTTTCATGTTGGTTTTATAGTTTCCAGCCGCAGATCGAGGACAACGTGAGGCAAATGGGGGACATCCTAGCCCAGGTCAAAGGTCAGACTGTCCCGGCCAACGGCAGTGTAGTTCAGGAGGCTGACAACGTCCTACAGCCCATCATGGACTTCCTGGACAGCAAGTTAGTATGACTGGATATTGAGCACAAATGGAGTTTAAGTGGTGTGTCTCAAAAGCTAGAATTGAATGTTTGATCATATTCTTGGTTTGATCAGATATTTCTTGCTCTAAATAAGAAAATCAGGAAAAGTCACACATTTTACCTATTTTTCTCTTTTAGACTGCTTTTCCTGAATAAAAGGAAAAAAAAGTGAAATAAAAGATTTTAAGAAAACAAGTTTATTTTTGGGCTGCAAGGTGGCGCAGTTGGTAGCACTGTTGCCTCGCAGCAAGAAGGTTGCCGGTTCGCATCCCGGTGGGGGCACCGGAATCTTTCTGCGTGGAGTTTGCATGTTCTCCCCGTGCAGCGTGGGTTCTCTCCGGGTTCTCCGGCTTCCTCCCACACAGTCCAAAAACATGTTGAGGTTAATTGGTGATTCTAAATTGTCCGTAGGTGTGAATGTGAGTGTGCTTGGTTGTCTGTCTCTTAAGTGTAGCCCTGCGATGGACTGGCGACCTGTCCAGGGTGTCCCCTGCCTTCGCCCTAAGTCGGCTGGGATAGACTCCAGCCCCCCGCGACCCTAATGAGGATTAAGCGGTGTATAGAAAATGGATGGAAGTTTATTTTCCTTAAACTGAGAAACTTGAAATAGTTTTATTATGATATTGAAACTCATGTAATAGCACTGATCTTAAATAACTTCTTACAGCGGTCAACATCGCAGGTGAACAATAAATAATTTGACTGTCGTATAAATTGACTCACTCAAGTCACAGTCGTTCACGTGCACACTCAAACTCTCACTCGTGCACACAGTTTAAAAAAAGTGAAACTATATGTTGCAAAGCTGACTTTACATCTAAAATTGTGTGTTTTTGTGTCTTAGCTTGTCGCTGTTTGCTAAGATCTGTGAGAAGACGGTCCTGAAGAGAGTACTGAAGGAACTGTGGAAACTGGTGATGAACACGATGGAAAAAACGATTGTGCTTCCAACTCTTACCGACCAGACGGTATGTGGTAGATAAAGACATTCACTCCTGATATCTTCACCATTTTCCTCTTCTTCTTCTCTGCTTGTAAAATTGCTTTTCATTGCTGTGTTACACTATAATTTGACATTAACCCGCCTGTCCTGCCATTTCCCCATTCTTGCTCTTGTTCTTCCTTTCTTAGGTTATTGTAAGTATGTGTGTGTAGCCTTTGTCAGCATGAAGAAACACTTTATTTTTAAAAGGAACTTTTAAGATCACCCTCCGTAGCCCTTGCCACTTTTTCCTTCTCTGTGGATACTGTGCATCAAAACAAGATTTAAATGGCAGCACGGTGCACCAGAGGCAACATTACTTGCCCATGAATCCCTGCAATACTGACTGACTGTACACTAAAGCACTTAAACCTTATTTCTCTCCCTCCTTGAAAATGACTCCCAAGATGTTTATTCTGTTTGTGTAAAAGATATTTTTCACTCAAATCGACATTATGGAAGTACCTAAAGTGTTATAAAACGTGTACTGTTTTCCCCCTTCACTTACCTTTCACTTTGCAAATCTTCCTCACCGGCACATTTCTGAAGCACCTCTGCTTTTATCTCTGCACTTTGTGTTCACTTGTCTGTTTGTCTCTCCTGGACAGGGCACTCAGATGATCTTTAATGCTGCTAAGGAGCTCGGCCAGCTCTCCAAGCTAAAGGTGATGATAACACACACACACATAATACATTTTTGTAAAACATACACAAGATGTCAACAACAACGGACTGTTTTGTTTATTCTGCCCTGCAGGAGCACATGGGCCGAGAGGAGGCCAAAGCTCTGACTCCGAAACAGTGTGCAGTGATCGAGCTCGCACTGGACACTATTAAGGTACAAAGTGATTTTTAGTCAGGATCACTTTATTTTAAATCTCATTTATAAAATACTCCCAAAAACTGCTTGCCCTCACCACATTCTGTAGAAACATTTTAAAAATGTGCTCCTCTGTGCAACTATGAAGCCACTCAGATGTGACCAACAGCCATGTGACAAAAATTGTGGGAGTTTTTGGTTGAACTGCAGGTTGTGTTTAGATTTATTGTCAGTTTTTGTACAATAAATAATTAAAGAAATTCAAATTTGGCTTCCACAGAGGGGCAGGACTTTATATTGCAGTGAAAAATGAGCCCGCAGCGAATGGAAATGCAACAGAAGCAATTACAAATTAAAGCCGCAAGCGGCGATGGACGGGTCCTCGCCCTGCGCTTGTCGGCCTTCGCGCACGGCGGGACTGTGATCC